GAAGTCGATGGCTTTGAATGAAGTCGATGGCTTTGGATGAAGTCAATGGCTATGGATGAAGTCGATGGCTCGGACCCCGTTTCGGATCCCGTTTCGGATTCCGAAAGGGAACCCCTATCCGGAGGATGTGCCAGAAAGCGAGCGATTACCCGGCCACATAAAGAACACCTCGCAAATCACTTTACAGTGATTTTTCTTCTGTTCCATGATTCTCAAATAAGATTTAATGTTAAAAATGTGTGCCCTAGATCGTAGAATCTTTTGGCGGAGTTCATTTTAACCCTATAAATGTGAAAAAGAACCGAATTGGCTTTGGGTTTTGCATATGATAACTTTCATAATGAAAAGACTCGTTTTTTCCTTAAGACCTAGATTTCCCGGACCAATGGATTTGTTAATTTTTTCTAGATAAATTTAAGCAGCTAACAATCGAAAGTCAAAACAAGAATAGTTTTATTGAATAAAAGTTTTATAACTGGTTCCAATCGTGCAAATCTTTCTTTTCATCTTTATTTCCCCTTGTCGATGGTTATTTCAAGAATCCAATTGGATAGATCAAATCGAATCAAGACGATTCTCAAGTATTTGCGCCAGCTGGAAGAAGGGAAGATCTCAACAAGGCGATCAAATGGAAAATGAGGGAATAGATTGGATAATTTATCAATAACTCTTTGAAAAACAAAGTTTTACTACCTAAATAAGCAGCTCGATAATACAGTACAGGAAAATGAAATATGATATTTGAAAAACGATCGTCACTTTCGCGCGTCTGTAACTCCATTGTCTTTGAGTTTAAACTATTAGTGTTATGCATTTTCTGAAAGCTCTTTTCAAGAACTGCACAATGGTAATATTTAGAATTACGGTAAAGACAATGGAGTTACGAAAATGACGATCTTTCTTCAAATATCATATTACATTGTCCAGTAGCGTATATAAAAGCGGGAAAGAAAGAAAAATCAAAGCAAGTCAGAATTTGACAAACAATTTGCCGATCTATTGAATAGCAACGCCAGTCAAAGCAAATTACAGAGCTTGAATCAAATTTTATCGAATCAAATTCTAAACATGGATGAAATTAGGCAAATTTTCATAAATGGGACTTCATCGATGCGAGAACAATTTCCCGATTTTCCGCCAACAATTGGGGGAAAGAGGGGAAGAAATCGAGAGAATTCGCATAATTGACGGAAGTGGTCACTAAGGGTTTAAAGGGGAAAGGTGTGGGGTTGAGAAAATCCGAAAATTCTATGCAAATTGCTTCGTGAAAGGTTTGATCGTCTGAGCTGAGCAGCAAGGTTGTCAAATTTACGGCTTGCTTAAGTGTCAAGTTGTTAAACTCTCCGATAGACAACTTGGATAATCGAATCTTGTATACAGGGATTTATAGTAGAGTATGTTCCTCGCGAGTAATGCGTTTTTTTTTTAAAACGCACGCTTGGGAAAAACTTTAGCAAAAAGCGTCTTTTAGCAAAAATTATTGCAAAAAATGACGCAAAAATCATGAGCCCCGCATTATATACGACACTTTTTAAAGATACTCAGCTGTTTAATTGATTTCATGGGAAATTCCCAATTACATGCACATTTGAACATAGTAGGCCCAAAACCATTGTTTTTTCTTGGAGTGAAAATTCTCATCCTTCAAAATCCTGCAGAAAGCTTGGCACGAGCTGGACACGCCCTACCTTCTCACCGCGAGAGTAGGGAGAAATTACCGTACTATTGCAAAAATTGCCGCAAAAAAATCACGAGTGACGACTTATATACGACACTTTTTAAAGATACTCAGCCGTTTAACTGATTTCATGGGAAATTCCCGTCCAATGTAAAGATATTGAAGATTACTCGTCGTGTAAAGAGGATTACTCGTAGTTACTCGACGAAAAAAAACGTCGATTAATCGAGTAAAAGATACCCATACAAATTTACTCGAGTAATTACTTATAATTTAACACTCTAATTTATAGGGACTCACTTCTGAGGGTCGAGCTCAGCGACAACTCAATGAATCCGTATGAAATTTTTGGAGGTGATTTTTGACAACTTTGTAAGGTCAGATAAAGATTCTAGAAGCACCAATCAGTTAGAAAATTGGTTTGGCGACAGGGGGACTTCAAATTCTTAACTTAAGCATAACTCTTGAAAGTCAATGATCATTATTTTGTGGAGTGACGATGCTGGTCAATGAAAGGAAATACCGTATTCTTTCTAATAGTAGTGCACGGCACCGAGCCGAGTTGATGCCTATTTTACGGTTTCCAATTTTTCCCAGAGGCTCAACACTTTAATCCTCCACAAGATCTCATCGTCAGCTACATTTTCCGACCCCACATCGATAGGTTCTGATAAGCGCTTTTCGAGATTTCGAGTAATTTAGACGACGATCAGGGTGCACTACTATTAGAGAAAATACGGTAAGCGTTTTTAATGGCTACAGTTTATGCAGCAAGCCAACCCGTGGTTTAATTTCAACGAGCATGGTGCGTTTCATTGCTCTCCGCTTGGGATAACTCCGAACCAGCGACCAACCGAGCTCAATCGAAACCGAAACTCAACTCAACTCAACTCAACTCAGACCAACCGAGCTGCTTAACTTGGCAGATCGGACGGGATGCCGTGTTTCAACGTGGCGAGAACGTAAACGGATTTTGACAAATTCTCCTCCTTTAGTTATTCTGATAGATTGCGACTCTTTGGTCTTGAAACGTTATACCAACGCCGCCTTATCATCGATTTAGTGGAATGCTTTAAAATTGTTAAAGGTATTCATCCCGACCCCCTTTTTTCTGCTTTCTTTGAATTGGGCTCTCTACGGGGCGCCTCCAGGGGCCTTTTCTCATACGCCAACCTTCCGTTTCCTCTAAAAGCTCCCACAATTTCTTTTTTAATCGAGTTATTAAATTGTGGAACCTTTTACCCCGTCATGTTCGTGATATTCCCACCTTGCCTAGATTTAAATCCGCAATTTCGGCAATTGATTTGACAGCTCTTTAATTCTTTCTTGAGGTATCTTTTTATCTTTTGGGTGTGATTTGAGTGGCGTCCTGGGTGATTATTGTGACCTTGTTTTGTCGCTATTCAACTGAATAAAGCATATATTGGGTTGTCCAGTTATGAATGCGCGTTTTTTACTATTTTGTAAATTTCTCAAGATATCGAACAGATGTATATGAGTGTTATATATTATTCGAAAGCTGAAGATCTCCTCTACATTATGGAATAAAAATGTTTTTGAATTCATTCAACTTTTTGGGAAATTGACTGCACAAAGGGAGGTCGTTTTCGAAAAAACCCATTCCAGCTTAGCTATTCCTCAAGTTATATGGTGTAAAATTACCGCCCAGAAAAGAAAAGAAAAGTAAAGATGCTCTGAAATTGTTATATTTTTTAAAAAAGTTGTATTGATATATCTATTGGCCAAACATGAAACGGTTAACTCAATTTGAGCGGAGCCAAAACTTGATCCAAAGGCACCCTTCCATTTTTTGGCCCCCTGTTCTTCTGTGCAGTCAATTTGCCCAAAAGCTGGACAAATTCAAAGACTTTTTATATCAAAATGTAGAGGAGATCTTCAGCTTTCGAATAATACTCATATATATCTTTTTCTTGATTTCGATATCTTAAGAAATTTACCAAATAGTAAAAAACGCGCATTCATAACTGGACAACCCAATATATAAAAATATGAAAAGAAATAAAAAGGCTTTCTGTTAAAATCTATAAAATGCTTTAAAAGCGTTAAAACTAGAAAGACTAAATGAGGAAAATTGAATGAAAAGCTGGATTAGGAAACACAATCTCTCAAACAAAAGTTTGTAGAAGTTATTTCGAATATTTTGTGTTAAAATTTTAAATTAGTTTAAGTGCCATTCATCAAAGCTCTCTTTTACAGCTAAACTTATATTTTATTTGAAAATTTAGAAAAGCCTCTCTTAAAGCTTGTCCCAACCACCGTAGCCATCGTGGAAACACGACAGATAATTTTTGCGATAAAATACAAGACAGTGAACAAGAGAAAGATAAAGAAAGCAAACTTTTTAAGTTTAAAAATTCATTTTTGTTTTGAGCATTTCGTAAAGTTCAGATTTTGGAATTCTGGAAAGTTCAAGTTTTTTCGATTTCTTGAGACAATCGATTCGCCAGTCTTGCCTTTTCGAACGTCACTATGCCAATTTTTTTTATGGAAAATTTTTCCACAAATTTTATTTGAATTCTACAAGTTCTACATCTTGTAAACTAGGTTTGACTTCTATAAATACCATATGACCGCCTCGTTTCAGCAGGAAAAACGACAAAGCTCGATTGGAATTGAAGAAGAAGAGAAAGAAGAAGAGGAAGAGAAAGAAGAAGAAGAGGAAGAAGAAGAAGAAGAAGAAGAAGAGGGAAGAGAAAGAAGAAGAAGAAGAAGAAGAGGAAGAGAAAGAAGAAGAAGAAGAGAAAGAAGAAGAAGGAGAAGAAGAAAGAAGAAGAAGAAGAGAAGGAAGAGAAGGAAGAAGAAGATGATGATGATGAAGAGGAAGAGGAAAAGGAAGAAGAAGAAGGAGAAGAAGAAGAAGAAGAAGAAGATGATGAAGAGGAAGAGGAAGAAGAAGAAGAAGAAGAAGAAGAAGATGATGATGATGATGATGAAGAGGAAGAGGAAAAGGAAGAAGAAGAGGAAGAAGAAGAGAAAGAAGAAGAAGAAGAATTCCCATGAATGTGCTCCCTACTAGAATTTGATGAAAAGTGAATAGGAAAAGAACCCAAACGATGGACTTGGAGCGACTCAGGACTTTCTAAAACCGCTCCAGGCGACTTGAACTTTCTCAGCAAAAAAAAACAGAACTTTCCAAAGCCCAAACTCTGAACTCTGAACGCTCGAACTGTCTTTGTTTTGGCTTTTTATTTAATTTTAATTTTAACTTTTAACTTTTAACATTTAAACTTTTCTTTTTGAATTTAATTTGAACAAAAGAAAGGATTAAAACAAAAAGAACAATTCTCTTTTGGTCAGAAAAATGGGCAAATTCAAAGCTCTTCTGCTGGACATTGAGGGAACGATCACTTCGATTTCGTTTGTTAAAGTAAATTCGAGTAAATTTCAATCGTTTCACAGTAAAGTTTTAGGATGAACTTTTCCCTTACGCGTACAAAAATGTGGCCAATTATTTGGACGACAATTTCGACAATCCCGACGTTCATCGATGCATTGCTGAGATGATGACTGTGAGTGGGGAATTTGATTCGAATATCTAGAAACAGATTGGGGGTTTTTTAAGTCCGGAATTTCAGCGTAAATAGAAGGAGAGGAAAAGGAAGAAGAAGAGAAAGAAGAAGAGAAAGAAGAAGAGAAAGAAGAAGAGAAAGAAGAAGAGAAAGAAGAAGAGAAAGAAGAAGAGAAAGAAGAAGAGAAAGAAGAAGAGAAAGAAGAAGAAGAATTCCCATGAATGTGCTCCTAGAATTTGATGAAAGGTTCGAATATCTAGAAACATATTGAAGGTTTTTTAAGTTCGGAATTTCAGCATAAATAGATAACAAAGCTTTTAAACATTTTTAAAAAGAAATTAAAAAGAATTTGAAAAGAATTTGAAAAGAAATTTGACAAAAAGCTTTTTAAATTTTTAGGCTTCAGTGGAGGAGGCGATGAGCGACGAAAAAGTGAAAGTGATTCGGTAGGAGTTGAAATTGAAAAAACAAATGAAAATGAACACAAATTTGGCTAGTATTGAAAAATCTAGTAAATACTTTCAGAATTTCTTAGTGGATTCAAAAAAATGATGCTAAGAAGGGAAAGATGATTGGATCTCATGGGCTTTTCCGATGATATCTAAGCCATTTGACGAAGAATTTTGATGCTAAAATTAGCTTCCGAATGGCGCCTAATCACCACTAAGCTGGGTTAAAGATTTTGAGCCTCTTGTTTTGAGCCTCCGATTTTGAGCCTCCGATTTTGAGCCTCCGATTTTGAGCCTCCGATTTTGAGCCTCCGATTTTGAGCCTCCGATTTTGAGCCTCCGGTTTTGAGCCTCCGGTTTTGAGCCTCCGGTTTTGAGCCTCCGGTTTTGAGCCTCCGGTTTTGAGCCTCTCGTTTTGAGACTCTCGTCTTGAGCCTCTCGTTTTGAGCCTCCGGTTTTGAGCCTCTCGCTTTAAGCCTCTCGGCTTAAAGCGAGAGTTTTGAGCCTCGTTTTTTTACAACACAAGCCGTTCATCGATGGCCTATTGGTTGAGTGCTTCGACAGTTTGGCGGTGATTACTCGCCATTCGGAAGCTAATTTTTACATCATAGCGTAAAAGTCTGCCTTCAAATGGTTTAGATATCATCGGAAAAGCCGACGAAATCCAATCATCTTTCCCTTGTAAGTATTCCTAAAATCCATCAAAGTTTCAGCTCGGAAATAAAAGAAGAAACGATCTCTGATGTGGTCGAGAATGTGAGATATTGGATCGATATTGACAAGAAAGTAAGTACAAATTATAAACTATAAAAATGACAAACTGTCACACACAAAAACACTTCTAAATTGCTTCAAATCTATGGGATTCATTTCATCTATAGCTCAAAAGATAGGGAATCTCAAAAGCTTTTGAATGAACTAAGGCACACTCAAAAATAATAAAGTTACAGTGGTTTTTAGTCCCTCGAAACGGACCGTGCTAGTTAAAGCTATTTAAATTCTTTAGATCACTTCAATGAAAACCTTGCAAGGATTGATTTGGGAGTATGCCTACAAAAGTGGAGCCGTTAAGGGACAGTGAGGCTTTGGAAAAACCTATATCATTAGCATTTTTATCAGTTTTCATTCCCATTTTATTTTTTTAGCCTCTATCCTGATGTGGTTTCAAATCTGAGGAAAGTCCACGAAACAAACCGACCAATTTACATCTACTCATCGGGTTCCGTTTATGCCCAGAAATTGCTCTTTCAGAATTCGATCGAAGGAGATATTACTGAAGTAAGAAAGATTGATGAAAAACCAAAAATTTGGCTAGATTTGGCTAAATTTGGCTAAATACAGCCGGCGGGATTGAACCGCTGGCCTCTCGCCTAGACACCGATCATACAAGGCTCTTAGCCACTCGGCTATAGCGCTATTGCTCTTTCAGAATTCGATCGAAGGAGATATTACTGAAGTGAGAAAGATTGATAAAAACAAAAAAATTTGGCTAAATTTGGCTAAATACAGCCGGCGGGATTGAACCGCTGGCCTCCCGTCTAAGAAACCGACTGTCATACAAGGCTCTTAGCCACTCGGCTATGACCCCTTCAAAACCCACATCAAAAAAAACCGTTTTCAGTTGCTATCCGGCTATTTCGATACTCATATCGGCCTCAAAGGAGACTCGGAGAGTTACAGGAAAATCGCTCACCAAATTCGACAAGCACCAGCTGATATCCTCTTCTTGACGGACATTGAAGCTGGTCAGGAATATCGAATTTTAAATAGTTATTCTTGATTAGTTGTAAAGAGACAAATAACATGTGCCATATACTAACCAACGTAGAATTTTGCGCTGATTCCGAATCTGCTTTCTGTTTTTGCAACGCAGTACTCTGTCAAAAGTTATAAGCGCTCAAAGTTTTGTGTGGAATCCAGAAAACAGATCCTGAGCTTATAAGCTGACTTACCAAGCGGACGAGGCGATGTCGCGCTGGCCGAGTGGTAGTGGGCTTGAATACAAAGCAAAGACCATTGGGGAGGCTAGGGTTCGATTCCGACCTTGGCTTTGCTTTTGCTTCTTTTAGCTTTGAGTGGTTTGAGTGTTTTGGCAATTTTGGACGGTGATCATTGGCTTCATGTATACGCTGTGCCAGATGCTGTACGATTGTGCATAGAGAACACTCAAACCATTCAAAGAAGCAAAAACAAAAGTCAAACGGCTGACTCGAACGCTAGAGTTCTTGCTTCGTATTCAAGACTTTGAGCGCTTATAACTTTTGACAGAGTACTGCGTTGCAAAAACAGAAAGCAGATTCCGAATCAGCGCAAAATTCTACGTTGGTTAGTATATGGCTCATGTCAATTGGCCATCACATCCTGTTCACATTCCTTTGTTAGACAAGTCCGAGCACTTTAAATGAGTAGTTCGTTTTGAAGGTCCATAACTTTGTTTAGAGATAGTATTATGGTTAAATTTTTTATGTCATTGTTTAGAGGAGACTTTAGGCTTTAGAATGATACCAAATAGAGTTTGATTGGCGCAGAAAATCAAAGCCAACTTTGACTTTTTTTAAATGTTCGGATTTCAGCCAAGAGCTATCTTACAGATAATTTGATCAGGAAAAAGGTTAAAATCTTGCTTACTCAATTCCCATTTTCAGAGGCTCGCGCCGCTCACAACGCTGGTTTTGCCGTTCATTTGGTGGTGAGACCAGGAAATGGATTGTTGAGTGAAGAGGCGAGGAAAGTCTTTACTGTGATTCAAAGTCTTGATGAGCTTTTGGAAGACTGAGTTTTTTGGGTGTGATATTCTGGTTGTGACTCTGTTGCTCAATAAATGTAACTTGTGAAATCGTTTTCGAAAAAGTAGTCATCACATGACCTCAGGTCGTAGAACAAAACGTAGACCGCAGTTTATAAGTCGAAAGTTATTTTTGTTTTTTCAAAGTCAAAATCGAATGAAGTGTAACTATTGCTTTTCTTTGTCTTTATTTTTTGCAAACAGGATTTGATATAAATCTTTCGATAATTTCGAAAAGCTCAATATCTAGAAAGCTCAACGAATGAGGTAAAAATTTTATTGAAAGTAGACCTTTTCGATAACTTTTAGAACCCAGGAAATCTCAATAGAAAGCCAATTTTGTCATCTTTTTATGATACAAAGCTAACTCTTGTATGACAATTCACCAAGCACAAAAAAGGAATGACAAATTTTTTTTGGTTAAAGTTGTTAAATTTTTCTCTTCTATTAGGGTGGTGCAAAAGAAACTGTCGATGGGTATCAGCTCTCATTTATCAGAAACGAGTGATGCTAACGGCATTATTTTTTTTATGTTTTGTTCGTATATTTGTTTGCTATTTATTTCGACATTTCAATTTTTTGGTTGTTGTTTATTTTATTTAGAAATGCTTATATTTTTTATTTAGATCATGGTCGAGCAAAAGTTTGTGCTACGAGCAGCATCACTGTTTAACTTCAAAATTGGAAAGTCTGCTGCCGAATAGCATCGTTCTCTCTGTGCAATACAAATTTGGTTCTTTCTCTCCACAAATTTGGTTCCTTATCTCGCATTGTTCTCTCTGTGCAATTGTATCGGAGATGGCAGTTTGTCTCTCAGGCAGTGTCAGACTTGGTTTCAACGATTCCGAGAGGGAGACGAGACTTTGGAAGATTACGAGCACGCTTCGAGGCCAGAACGAACAAAGATTCGTGAACGAAGCCAAGCTGAGGGACGTTATTCAGGCTGATCCATGCCAATCTGCTCGAGATCTTGCGAAAATATTCCATTGTGATCATGTCACCATCGAATGCCATCTTTTTTTAAATTTCCCGTCAAATCGGCAGTTTCTTTTGCACCACCCTAATAGTCTACCTTCTAGTCTTTTTCACAAAATAAACCTTTTTTTAAAAGCTAAAGAAAACTCGAAAACCCTGTAAAATTTATTTTTCCACAAGATCAAAAAGAAAATGACATTAGATAAGGCTTTTGTAATAAACTGAAGAACTTTAAGCATCACAATAAAATCGAAAAGGAAAAGTACCCTTAAAAGAAAGCTAAAAAAAGAGAACAATTACCGTAACGCCTACAAAGATTGGTGGTTAGGGTTGAAAAAAAATAATCCTGGTCTTTTTTTGGATTAAAGGCAATGAAAATGAAGAAAAGTTTGGATATTATACCGTAAATACTGCAATAGTACCCCACCGCCCTCGTACAGTCGCGTAGTCGCAAAAGTTTTTTAGTATTTCTTGTTTTTCAAAGCGCCCGTACTTTCAAAAAATGTGTCTTTGGTATCAAAAAATAGCCCTGAATCTCAGCTATTTTTTGATACCTAAGCGCGCATTGTAGCCTAAAGCAGTGTCGAGAAAAACTCGTTCAAAACTAGACTACGCAACACTCCGCACCGTCATTATGGGGGTGGAGTACTATTACAGTATTTACGGTAATCATATTCTAGTGAACAAACACAACAAATAAACAGCTTTCTAATATTAGTCCAACCTCTTCATTTCCTCTTCACTTCCACTCCATCGGACGATGGAAAGCTGACGATCGGACGTTTAAGCTACAATGTTCGCTTAGGTATCAAAAAATAGCCCTGAATTTCAGCTATTTTTTGATACCTAAACGCGCATTGTAGCCTAAACCAGTGTCGAGAAAAACGCGTTCAAAACTAGACTACACAACACTCCGCAACGTCATCATGGGGGTGGGGTACTATTACAGTGTTTACGGTAAGTTAAATATTACAGCAGGTATTACGGTAGAATGTAGTGTAAAAGAAAAAGGATTTTAAGAGTAGATGACACCGGTATTCGAGTGAAAATTGTATGTACAAGGAAATCACATTGAAGAATAGAATTGATTCAGGAATAGAATAAAGGCTAGAGAAAAGTTGTGATCGACTTTAAAACACAAAGATTGATTAGTTTAAAGAATAGAATAAATTATAAAAGAAAAATTGATCATCTTACAACAGAAGAAACTCGTTTTCTTTTTGATGCTACCGTTTTTTATATAATTTCACTTGATCCCAGGTTAAGTCGCCGACTTTACGAACGGTGTAATTGTGAATGTCAAGCCATTCTTGTTCTTGGTAATCGATTTCCCATTTCTGGAAAGAATTTTGAGTCTATGGATTGAGTTGGCTTCAATTCAAATCAACACTTTAACTTATTCTTTAAGTTTTGTCTATTCTTTAAGATTTGTCTAACCGCTTTATTCAAAAAAAACCAATTTTCGACTGACCTCCAATCTCCCATCCGTTTCTATCGGGCAATTCGTTGCGTTTATGTCATCAAGAGGAGTTTGGGATTTGCTAAAGTTTCATTTATTTCAAAATATGACTAGATAAAGTTGCTTATTTTCGGTTAAGGTATACAACGGAAGATTTGATCACTTCGCTACTTTTTTCATGGATTTTTCCTTGGACAAAGGTAGATGGATATCGATGAATGAATCAAGTTGATTGTTTTCTATGGGAATCGATTAATGAATGAAGTTGCTTCCTTTCTATGGAAATCAATTAATCAATCAAGTTGCTTGCTTTCTATGGGAATCGATTAATCAATCAAGTGCGCCAGAAGCGTAGGGTTTCCGATAAAGGTAGAATTTTTCAAGCTCTATCTTTTGTTTTTAAAATCTTTTAAAAAATGTAGCTATTAAAGTGATTAAATCTCGTTTTTCCGCTGTACACACACCAGTTATTTGACAAAAACCGAAAGGTGAGCAAAATAATGAAAAAGATGATCAGATTATCATAATAAAGTTTAAAATTTCCTGATTTTTGAGACAATAAAGGCAAAGATTTAAGTGAACAAGAGTTTTAATCGGAGATTGAGATTGAGATTGAGATCGAGATCGGGAATTGATTGACTTCTTAATATATATGTTGTGTCCGATTTAGATTTCCGTCCGATTTAGATTCAATCTAAATCGGACGTCCGATTTAGATTGAACTTATCGCGGACGTCCGATTTAGATTACAGTCTATATCGGACGTCCGATTTAGACTCAATCTAAATCGGACGTCTTATATAGATTGAACAATAATATAAACATGTTTAGTATATGTTCTTAAGCGTTTTCTGTAGTTTTCTGCATTTTTCAAAGGTCTGTTATTGTCTTTTTCTGAAAAGAAAACCCAACTATGAAATAATCAATAAAAGACCTTTGAAAATGCAGAAAACTACAGAAAACGCTTAAGAACATATACTAAACATGTTTATATTATTGTTCAATCTATATAAGATTTAGATTGAATCTAAATCGGACGTCCGATATAGACTGTAATCTAAATCGGACGTCCGCGATAAGTTCAATCTAAATCGGACGTCCGAGTATATATATATATGTTGTGTCCTTTTTTTTCCGTCCGATTTAGATTCAATCTAAATCTTATATAGATTGAACAATAATACGTTTTATATAGATTGAACAATAATAAACGTGCTTAATATATGTTCTTAAGCGTTTTTTTGCAATTCAAGATGTAACAATAGCCTAAGCTGCAAAAATAAATAGAAATTTTTAACTCGTTCGTTGTTGTTGTTGGTTTTTTGTTGTTGTATGTTGTAATTTCGCATCTATTCTGCTAACGCTAATAAATTGTTTCATAGTTGGGTTTTCTTTTCAGAAAAAGACAGTAACAGACCTTTGAAAGATGCAGAAAACTACAGAAAACGCTTAAGAACATATATTAAGCATGTTTATATTATTATTCAATCTATATAAGACGTATTATTGTTCAATCTATATAAGATTTAGATTGAATCTAAATCGGACGTCCGATATAGACTGTAATCTAATAGGTTGATGCATAAGTCTTTTCGTTTTTTTCGTACTTCTGTTAAAAAGTAACAAATTCACGAATTAATCTATAGTTTGCTCTATAAAAAAAGTGTTTTTTTGTTCAATTTGCATCTTTTTAAATGAATTTCGGTTCACTTTCAAGCAAATTCGAGAGTGAAAAACGCCTTTTTCGTAAAAATCTATAAAAAACTCTACGGAAAAATTGGCTGAATGAATTTCTCTGAAATTTTGGCGAAATATCAAACGTTTTTTTTCTCTATCTTTTATCTATTGACACGAAGATAGGTTTTCTTTAGCTAAGGTGTCTAAACCGCATCATCGAGTTAGCCCTTTTTGACTACCCGACTTCATACTCTCAAGAAAATCCAGGCATTCAATATTTTTAAACCCGTTTTAATGTTATTTTGCAGAAAAATAATTGGTTTTTCTAATGAAATCAACCGTAGTTTAATTGGTGCATTTGTTGGCTTGAAACGGCAGACGAAAAGGAACGAAAAGACTTATGCATCAACCTAATATATACGATAACAAAAGTGATCTCTTAATGCTCAGCTTTTACCTTTGTTCATTCACGCTTTTTTATCATTCACAGCTTCACATAATATCCTTAAATATCTAAAGAAAATATGCAACTAATTTAGTTTAATTGGTGCATTTGTTGGCTTGAAACGGCAGACGAAAAGGAACAAAAACACTTATGCATCAACCTAATAAATCGGACGTCCGCGATAAGTTCAATCTAAATCGGACGGAAATCTAAATTGGACACAACATATATATATGTTGTGTCCGATTTAGATTTCCGTCCGATTTAGATTCAATCTAAATCGGACGTCCGATTTAGATTGAACTTATCGCGGACGTCCGATTTAGATTACAGTCTATATCGGACGACTCAATCTAAATCGGACGTCTTATATAGATTGAACAATAATATAAACATGTTTAGTATATGTTCTTAAGCGTTTTCTGTAGTTTTCTGCATTTTCAAAGGTCTTTTATTGATTATTTCATAGTTGGGTTTTCTTTTCAGAAAAAGACAGTAACAGACCTTTGAAAAATGCAGAAAACTACAGAAAACGCTTAAGAACATATATCAAACATGTTTATATTATTGTTCAATCTATATAAGACGTCCGATTTAGATTGAGTCTAAATCGGACGTCCGATATAGACTGTAATCTAAATCGGACGTCCGCGATAAGTTCAATCTAAATCGGACGGAAATCTAAATTGGACACAACATATATATAGATATACAGTACTGGACAATGAAATATCATAATTGAAAAACGATCGTCACTTTCGAGCATCTGTAACTCCCTTGTCTTTGAGTTTAAACTATTAGTGTTATACATTTTCTGAAAGCTCTTTTCAACGGCTACACAATGGTAATATTAATATTTACAAATACGGTAAAGACAATGGAGTTACAAACGCGCGAAAGTGACGATCTTTTTTTCAAATATCATATTACATTGTCCAGTAGTGTATATGCTTTATTCATGGGGCGAATAGAAGCGAATCAGATAATCATAACAGCATATAACATATTGCTACAATGCTTTCACAAAAAAAAAAAAGAAAACTAAAAATAGTACAGTAAGACTAAAGTTAGGAAATGCAAAGTACAAAAAAAGATTAAATATAGGGCAGATTTGACATGGCAATAAGATCTAATTCGTTTACAGATACTTTCAATTTTCCTACAGACGATTTTCCTACAGAAGATACCAAACGGAAGCTGATTCCAAACCCTACTAATACGGTTCGCAAAAGAATGATAAAGGGAAAGATGATGGGGATGAGAAACGACCGAAATTTGATTACTACGTGTACTTAAGATATAGAATCCATTAAATGTTGTTTAAAGTGATTAAGGTATGTAAAGACCTTTGGTTTAAGATCTGTCAATCAGTCAATCAGTCGATCAGTCAATCTCACCTGCATTTTGTTTCCGTTGTGAGTACGTTTATCTTGTAGAGAAGACCGGAGACGATTTGACGAGTTGCTGACACAACCTGAAATTATTCTTTTTTTTTGTTTGAGTCATTTCGTCAATTGAATCGTTTCTTTCAATCGCTGCTACACATTTCTGATTTCTGCTACAGACATCCACTGAACTTTCATTTCAAACTTTTATCTCTTTAATTCTTTTTTCCGCAAAAGGGTTCTTTCTGTTTTACAAAGAACCGTGCTTATTTCAACGACAGAAATGAGAAATGCCCGGGAATTCCCTTCAAAACAAGATTGATAAGACTAGAGAATCAAAGGGAGAAGAAAGGGAGAAGAAGGGGAGAAGAAAGGGAGAAGAAAGAGAGGAAGAAAGGGAGAAGAAAGAGAGAAGAAAGAGAGGAAGAAAGAGGGAAGAAAGAGAGGAAGAAAGAGGGAAGAAAGAGAGAAATAAAGGGAGAAGTTTATGGTGTCTACGAGCAGATTTTTGACCTTCTAGTGATACGGATTTCAGTACTTCTTCAAGAAAACAGGTAAAATATTAGAAAAATAAAGCTGACCTTGAAAGGAACGATCCAATTACCATCATTGTCCGCGTTCAGCGCTGGGATCGCGTGCCAAACGACGTCCTGAATTTTGGGGACTTTCGAATATCGAAGCTGTATCCAAATTTGCGAAAAAGTCAAAATTTCGAAGCTTTTACACAAATCTTGTAAAGATTTGTAAGCATTTTCGTTTTTCTTCGAGTTCTTTCTCTTCACTCACCTTCACTTCCACGGTATCCACGTGCTCAACAGCTCCAGGCGCTCCCTCATTCGGCGAGTATTGTCGACACGCAATTTGCGCTGCGGTTGTCGTCACCTACAAAGATTTACATCAAAATCCGATTGTTATATGTTCCGATTTCATTCTCCAAACATATAAAGGTCTAAGAAAAAGAAATTGCTCACCATTAACAACAACCGCACGCACATTGAGCATTCAAGGGAAACCCTGAAAGAAATTTTTGTGTAAAAATCCCTAGAATTTCGTAAATTTTTCAAATCGAGCCGAAGAGAAAATAGAGAATCGATAGAGAAACGGTTTAACAAAGATTTAATCTAACTACGCTAGGAAATCGAAATCGAATGCCGATTCGAATCTGTAATCAAAATTGGAGGAATTGATCGGAATTGATCGGAATTGATCGGATTGATCGGAATTGATCGGATTGATCGGATTGATCGGATTGATCGGAATTGACCGGAAACGCGAGATCGCGAGAACAGCAAATCTAACATCAAAGTTTTCGCCTTACACTCTGAGTTTACGCTTCTTTTTCAGCGGCTATCCTCGTCAAATCATTGTGAAAATAAAAAGCAAAATACGTTTGGCAAGTCGCGGACTCGAACCCACCACAAAACAAATTCGACTAGTTCTGTAAATTCTCTGACAATCCACTACACCACGACAGCCGTTTGTCCAGTACAATTTCCTTTCAAAAGCGGCAATTCACTTTTTAGAAAACGCATTACTTAAGAAGATACTTTAGTAGAATTATAGTAGAGACAAGACTTTATTAGAGAAAGAATACGATATTCAGTTCTATTTTGAATAGTTTAAATTTGAAATACGAAATGAAAGAGGCTAAAAATTTCAAAACAAAAATGAGAGAAGGGAAAATGAAAAAAATAGAGTAGTTGTAATAACGCTTTGTCCTTGTTTTGACAAAAAAAAAGAATGAAAGAGATGAGAGATAAAGGGGAGAGGCTGTACGCTCAATTCAATCCTTTCAATCCCTTCAATCCCTTCAATCCTTTCAATCTATTTCTCATAATAGAATATATCATCGGTAAATGTTTCAAAAAATTGTTTAACTCTAAAAGAAATGAAGAATGGTTTTTGTGGCTTTGCCCAGTACAATTCCCGTTCAGTTTTATCGCAAAGAATAAAGAGAAAACGAGTTTAACGCGTAAGAATGTTGTGGTGATAATAATTGTATGCAAAATGAGTTATACGATTTAAAATAACCGGCCTAAGACTCAGAAGTTCCCCCAAAACGTACTCGTCACTAGAGTTCGGCAAACAAAACCAAAACAGACCAAAACCAAAACCAAAACCAAAACACCAAAACAAACCAAAACTCAATTTGCATATAAATTAAAATGCAAATTTAAAATTGTAAAATGCAAATTTTAATGTAAAATGCAAATTTGCCTTTCACTTTTTCTCACTCCACAAAATCTCGCGGCCGAAAAAAGGACCAAAACACGACCTCGAAATTTCGAAACAAAAAATAGCCTATGGGATAGATTTTTGGATGCTGATTTCAAATCTGCAAACAAATTTTCGCTAGCTCCTCCCAGTCGCGAGATATTGGCGAGTTTTGGTTAGTTTTGGTTTTGGTTTGTTTTGGTTTTGGTTTTGTTATGGTTTGGTTAGTTTTGGTTTTGGTTTTGGTTTTGGTTTTGTCATGGTTTTGTCATGGTTTTGGTTTTGTTATGGTTTTGGTTTTGGTGGTTTTGGTTTTGGTTAAGTTTTGTTTTCCGAAGTCTACTCGTCACTCTTACCCCCGCCACTCTTACTCTTACACCACCCACTTTGTATTGAAAATCAATTTGTATTGAAATTTTCGAATACAAATTGATTTTCAATTTAAAGTGAGAAAAGTACCTAAAGAATTAACTCAAAAAAACACATTGAATATTAAGAAAACTTAGAAATAAACAAACTTTCATCACTTGTGAATTGAAAAAGCTATAGGGGTGGTCTCTGGCGTTTTTCCTTTCACTGACTGACTCCATTACTGACTCATTGCTTTCATTTCACTCAAAGATGGAAACAGGGTAATAAAATCTTCAGGTTCTTTGTCGGGAAAAGAGTTTTACTAAAGAAGAAAGGCATAAAAAGATCAGAGAGATTTGGGAAATTGTTGATGAATTCGATGTTTTCGTTTCCGATCGAGTTCGAGAGAGAGTAAAGGTTCTGTTAAGGTATGAGTTAGGATATTTACACAAATAATGTAGCACAAGAAATGCACAAGCACAGTCTAAGCTTTAAATGTAGGGAAGAAAAAAAACCAATATATATGGAAAAAAAGAAAGAAAAAGGTGGACGGAGGGATCGAACTCTTGATTCCTCGACTACGATACGGGGCTCTTAGCCATTCGGCTATGAGGGCCCTTGGGCGATGGGTTTGGGAGATGCCATATATTAAATTAAATTTCATTTTTATCCTTGGCATTATCTTTTTTCGAGTTTTTTATAATTAAAAAACTCAAAAGACTATCGAAAAGATGATAACTTTCAAATCTTGGCTTATTTTTGATAAGTTACTATCTAACAAGTTGTACGTCTTGAAAATCTAATAGTTTAAGTCAAAATCTAATAGTTTAAGCCAAAATCTAATAGTTTAAGTCAAAATCTAATAGTTTAAGTCAAAATCTAATAGTTTAATTCAAAATCTAATAGTTTAAGCCAAAATCTAATAGCTAAAGTCAAAAAAGCAAAGACAAGACAAGAATCCAAAGAGCAAAAGAGGAAAAAGCAAAAAGAAGTAAGGAAAAGCCGGATTTGAAACATGAAAACATGGTAAATCAATTGACTCAATTGAATTTTTTATAAAAAAACAATAAATCTAAGTGGCTTCATAAGTTTAATTAATAAATTCAAAAGAAAAACTTTTGAATGCAGGCTTATTTTTTAATAAAAAAAAATACCGACTGGGGCTACCAGTGGTGAATTTATCGCATACACGAAATATATCAATCACAATACAACGACACACACAATACTAGGCTATACCTTAACTTAACCCACGTCATGACAGACGGCTCCCTAACCCTAAGCTCAATGGGGAACTAAATAGCTTTTTTGGTGGTGAAGGGAAGATGACGATGAAGGAGTTTATTTTGTTGAAACTGTTGCACGAAAATACGAAAATACGCAGAAATTAAAAAACATCGAAATCACTCGAGAATTGGGGTCAGTTTTTGGGGAAAAATTGAATGAAAGAGGGGTAAAAGAGAGAAAATTGACTGATAAACGGAAAAAATCCAAGCGAAAAACAAACCTTTTTTCTCTCAAAAGGCAAGTAAACAGATTTTCAAAAAAAAAGAAAATGACCAACATTTTTTTTTCGATTAAAAGAGACAAAAGAACGATGATTTGTTTTGATTTTGATTCAGAATTGAAAAAAATCAAATTTATAACTAATTTATAATGAATTCTTTGAGAAAATCAAGGATTAAAGTATTCCGGAGAGGGAATTCGATTCGATTTTGCTTTCCAAACAATTCCTCTAACCACTCAGCTATCTGGTACCTCAATAGAAAGAGGGAAAGAAAGAAAGAAAGAAAGAAAAAAAAAAGTTATCAAGCTGTCAATTTTAAAATTTCTTCAAAAGTTTCAAATTTTCGATTCTATCAAAAACCAGTCAACTGTGAATCTGTGACTTTTTCAGCTCAATTCTCAGCACCAATTCCCTTCTTGAGGAATCAAAATGATTCAATTGGAGAGATTTGAAAGTGTTCGGAATGTTCAATGGAGAATAGAAAATCGAATTTTGGAATTCTGGAATTTAGAAATTTGAAATTTATAAAACTTTTGAATTTGAAAAGAAAAAGATTTTTTGCCATCATCGTGAATGGGTTGATGATTTGGGAACGTCATAATTCCCCCTCAAAAACAATTTGCGGACAGTTTAAGTGGGGAAAAGTGAGGAGGGGAAAGAGAAGAGAAAAGCTCTGAACGGATCAGTCAACGGACGAGGAGGAGATTGGGGGAAATATGGCATTATTGAAAAGGGAAAAGAAAATGGAATGGGGAAAGGAAAGGGAGGGGAAAGTGGGAAAGAAAGCGGGGAAGAAAGCCGGGGAAAGAAAGCGGCGAAAGAAAGCGGCGAAAGACGGAAATGAGACAAAGGATTTCCACCTCGTTTTTCGGACAGAGACCACCGAAAATCTGCTAGTTTTTTTGGGATAATCAAATGAAAAAAAGTGAGGGAAATCTAGAAAAGACAGGCAAACATCTGTCTTGAAGCTTCTATCTATTTGAAGTAAAAGTTGTGTAAAGTAGTAAAAGACTAGTTTAAAAAGTGTAGAACAAGATTATAGGGTTAAAAATGAGATTCGTTCGAAATTTGCATTGAATTTCGAACTTTAGGTAAATTCTTTAGCTGAAAGACTTTTCATTTTGCAAATTTATTGCACCGTATTCAAAAGCTACAGTATTCTTGAAGTTAAAAATTGAAAAACTAAAAGTAGTAAGCTTTTTTTGACTAGCTTTAGTCATGACCAAATATCTTGGCTTTGGGTTGTTCAGTTTAAATAGTTTATATATCAATTGATAGAGAAAGTCTTGGCGCATCTAATGATACCAAAAATGTTTAAACTGAACAACCCAAAGCCAAGATATTTGAGCTCAAAGTTAAGCCAATGGCAAAGAAGCGGGCGCCTATCAAATGTTTCACAATCTTTCCCAAATGTCACCAGGCCTGCATTTCCGCCCATAGAGATCTATTTAAAAGAAAGTAGCGTATCAAATGTCCCACAATCAATCTGAAAAAGATCCTAGTTTTAGTTTTTTTGAAGCTGACTGCTGAATCTAAGCATACTGCTGAATCTAAGCGTACTACTGAATTTAGAACATCTACCAAATGATTCCCAAAAAAACAAGGCTATAAACTCTTGTTAGCAAACAGTTTGTTGTTAAATTTGTTAGCAAACATTTAAAATAATATATAATTTCGTTAAAATAATACATAATCAATAAAATTTTTGGCTTTAAAAGTTGTAAAGATTTGAGTGTGCGAATAACCTCGACAAAAATCGACACAAAAAAAAATCGGTGTTTGTGTATTTTTGAGAGAGAGAAAAAAAGAGAGAGTAAAGATGAAAAGGGAAAGATTTTGGATAGAAAAAATGGGGAGAAAGATGGAGGTGGAAAAGAAAAGAGTCAAAGCAAAAAGATATTCAGTCAAAGATGAGCGGAGGCA